GTTGTTTGGCAGGCCCGGGCTGGGGATTTGAACCCGCCACCTTAGGTGTATGTGGCTGGCGCCTTAGCCGGTTGAGCCACAGGCGCCGAGCCACTTTCCCAACTTTCAAATGAGATTTGTAGATGAAACCAACATGTTTCTTTGGCTTATTTATCTTAAAAGGGAGGAAGCACTTTGGAAAGGATGCAGGGAAAAAGACCAATAAAATCAGAACAAGGAGCACAGGGGCAGAAGCTTTACTGTAAAACATTTAAAAACTGCACAAGTAGTTCTAATGTGCAGCCAGCATTGGAGCCACTTCTAACCTAAGGGTGGGAGTGGGGCAGGAGGGAGGCTCCAGGTGACAGCAGACCTCCGAGGCCAGGCAGACAGACGTTATTCCTTGACAACCTTTGGACAAGGCCCTGGCTCCCTCTTACATGTGTCTTGTCTCAGCACAGCTCTGATTTCCCGCCTGTGGCGGGCCAAGTCACATCACAGAGGTAAAGGCTGGCTCAAGAGGGAATCAGTCCAGGAGGCCACCCCAACACATGGCATTCACATCACCATGGACCATTATTCTCCACATACATAAGAGCCTCAAAATATGAGGAAAACAATAAAAATTGAGAACCAAGAAGTCAACAAAATAGGGTCAATCAGAAAATGTTGGGAGCAATACAGACTAGTTCCAAAAGCAACCAGAGAGCAAGGACTTAGCTGCCACCCACCGAGGCCCTGACTGCTCTATGCTGCGTCTATATAAACTGAGCCCTCAGCCCGGCTGTGGTTGTGCTACTCCAGCAGGGGCCAAGTGTGCTGGCCAGTCACCTGTCCCTGCAGCCATCCAGCACAGGTAAAGGGGACCTGGGATGGGGGACCCCCCCCAGTATCTGCCTCTGTCCTCAGTACCTGTCCCCAGTTGCCCCAGGAAGTGACAATGCCAGGAGACTTCTATAGTACCTGAATCCTTAACCATCCAGGTGCCAACTCCAAGGGTGGTTTAGGACTTCTGTTCTTAGCCATTTTAAGTTACTGAAGGCATTTCTCCTGCTCTGATCACTATCATTACTGTCCCCCAATGTTTTAAAACCCTCTAAAATTGACTCCAAACAATTTTCTCTTCTTATACATCTGAAACATAAGAACATGTGGAATCCAGTGTCTTTAATTAGCATGCAACATGCAAAGTGTAACATAATTCAAAGAGAGTAAAACAAGCTTTTTCTCCCCACTTAAAAACAAAACAAAAAAAAAGATGAGGGGTTGGCAGTGCCTGTGGCTCAAGGAGTAGGGTGCCAG